AACAGTTAATATTTTTGTCTGTCAATTAAAGGTGATATGCAGTCCTGAAAGGTTTATGAAATATTTCAGTATTCTAAGTTACACTTTAAGGGGTATTTTTTTGTAGATCCAAAGTAATTAGAAAGAATTTTATTATTTAAGTTATAAATGAGATAATTGTGGAATTTGAAGTTGAAATCACTTTCAAAGAGTTTCTAGCCTGCATATCAGAATATTTTTGTAATATCACTAATAAAAAGTATTTCATGTATGAAGAGTGTTACAGTTATTTCTTTTAAGTTTTTATTGTTATTATAAAGGTAATGGACAGAGGAGTCACTGTTTCATGTCAGGCAATGAGTACATTTCTTTTTGGATAATGTCACCCCTTCCTCCATTCTCCCCGTTTTTCCTTCCCCTCCCCACTCACAAGTTGTATTGTTCATTTTCAACATAGTTTCTGCTGAGTACCACTGCTGCATTTTCCACCCCATGTCCCTGATGTGATTATTTTTTAAATGCTCAATAAAAGTCCATTAAAAAGTAATGAAAAAATTAAATCGCATGAGTTGATTATCAGTCTACTGTAATAGTTTTAAGAACTTTAATGTACATTTGGTCCTGAGAGGCTCCTGAGGTTGAGTAAACTTCTGTTCAGAGAGGTCAGGCACCTTTTTCAGGGTCACACAACTGCTCAATAATAGAGTTGGGTCTAGAACAAGAATCTCTTGACTTGGTATGATCTATATCTGTGTGTGTGTGTGTGTGTGTTTGTGTGTGTGTATAGTATCAAATAAGTGTTATCCTTTAAGTTAGAAGTTAAGAATAGGTGACTCAATGTTAAAAAAAAAAAGGGAGGGGGTAGTTAGAGTTGGGCTGGTGGTACTCACTCATAATCCAGGACTGGGAGGGCGAGGATCATGAGTTTCAGCCAGTCTTGGCTATAGAATGAAACGTTGTCTCAAACAACAACAGCTGCAGACACATCAAAGAAAGAACACAGGTCTTCAGATATGCCTCGTGATGCGTTATTTTTTGAATAAGCCACACACATATTTACTTATTTATTTTTACAAAGGCAAGCCTCTTAAGTGTATCTGGAAAAAAATGAGAAGTTATTGGCTAATTGGAGGCCCATGTGCCTCTGTAGGATGCCTAAGCCTGTGGGAACACAACACAGTGGCGGCTGACGGCTCCACCTCCTGGGTGCCAGCCTCCTGCATGGCCGGTGGTCCACCATTCTGCCTCACTGTCTGCCTGTCCCTCCTCATTCTGTATTCACCTACCTGACTGTGGATGCAGAAGAAATTGCGGATGTTTTGACCGGAAGTTATTTACTTATCTCAATTTTATCATTATGAAACCTTTTTGGAATAGCCTTCAGATTAGCTTAAGAATCACTCCAGTAAAGCAGCACCATTATTTTAGTCCATTTAATTTTTAATTAACAAGTGGCCTCAGGTACTTGACCATTCAGGAGGAAAGTAGAGAGCAAGGAAAGCGGAGAAGGGCAGTCTGAGTTCTAGGGGAAATCAATGCCAATTTTCAAGAGGGGAGAGGAATTAGAACTGACAGAGGAGCCATGTGGAGAAATGACAGAGGCAAGGAGGCTGCATCTGGGACCAGCCAAGGGGCTGCCCTGAAATGTTTAAATTGGGAGGATCAAAATCTCCTGCTGAGAGTTAGACTTTCAGTTTAATGTAGACTAAATCTGAGTAGAAGCAAGCAAAGTCACCCTAAGTGAGCAGAATGGCTCTTGGATCTTATTTCACCCAGGAATGGCACTTGAAGATACAGTACAACATCAAACATAAAGCTGAGCAGAAAGGTCAAGGATACTAAGGAGAGAGGACCCCGAGGAGTTGGAGGTGTCCGGCTTGTGGGCAAGCTTAGAAAAAGTTTCAAGGAAAAAGTGAGTTTCAAGGAATAGTAAGAGACAGAGACAATTTACAAGGAGCTGAGGGGCAATTAGGAGAAAATGAGGAGTAGAAACTCAAGTTAAATCTATCTTTACTAAGAATAAAGAGAGAAGTAGAGGGAAGGATGGGCAGTCTGAGGGAATATGTGTCTAGGTGTGTATGAATGTACATGTATGTGTGTGCATATATGTTTGTGTGTATATCTGTGTATGTGAATGTGTATGTGTATTTATGGGTGTATGGCAAGCATGAGGCCCTGAGTTCAAACACTAAGTGCTATGAAGGGTGGAGGGAGAAAGAAGTAAGGAAAGAAAGAAAAGAAAAGCAAGCAAGCAAGTAAGCAAAGAGTTTTTTGTGGGGAGTTTGGTGGAAATCTAAATCCCACATGAAGTCTCTGGAAGATGATCAGCCATGTTGCAAAGGTGAATTAGGTTTATTACAAAGGTTACTCAGGTCGAAGTGTGGGGGCTGTGGAGATGGGACAGAAGACCAGCAGAGATTGAAGGTTGATGTTAGTCAGTGTCTGGTGAGCTGGGGGAGAGCTAAGAAGGTGGATAATGAGTGCTTGCTTGGTGTGAGTTCATAGGGGAAGGGAGGCTGGTCCAGTGGTTGGGGTGGTGCTGCTCCACTCCCTCAGGCAATGTAAGGGGAGAAACCACTCATGCAAATGTTGCTGTGAGAACTTCAAACAAGGCAAAAGGAAATACTCACTTGTAGAACTTGAGAAAAAGCAAGCATTTTTGCATTAGGAACTCTGATGCCCACAAAGCAAGAAATAACAAACGTTCTACTTTTAATGTAAGAAACTTTCCGTTCCCCACCTCCAGCCCAGTCATGCACTAGACACAAATCAAAGCCCTGTTAAGTCATGGAATAAAGAATGAAAAGAATAATAAAAAAAAAAGGCAAATAAGTGCTCCCTGTGGGTGGGTGGAAATTTTCAGCCAGTTTCTTTTCCAGGCACAGGAAAACAATTCTGATTATTTAAAACCACAAGTACTTGTATTTTTAATTGAGATTTTTGAGAAGCTAAGACACGAGAGGACCACATAAAGGGACGGTGGTAGCATCAAATACCATTTATATAGAAGCTAGCTCGGTTATCCCAACTGCCATCAACCATTCTATACACCAGGAAGCTTGACAGTTGGATAAAAGCAAACAGTTCATTTCAAATTCATACCCAGTTGAACTAAAGCTAAATTCAATTGTAACTTGTACTTTTCTTCCTTGGAGGTAGAAGTATAAGACATAGATAGCATAAGACTTATATAAACATGATGTAACTGTGAACTCAAGTTTGTTTCTCACCACTAAAAAAGGCCAATGCCTCAAGGACAAGTTGAGGGAAAGGAAATTATTTAGGTGAGCTAGAAATGGTGGTGGTACATGCCTGTAATTCCAGCTACTTGGGAGGGAGAGAGAGAAGGTAAGCTGATCTTAGTTCAAGGCCAACCCTGGTGAAAGTATGAGAATTTATCTAAACAAGAAATGAAAACAGTGCTGGGTACCAGGTCACTCCTCATGTGGCAGCATATCTTGGTCTTGCCATGAATAGTTCCAATAATATTGTACCATTTGTAAAGAACTGGAAAAATCATGTCAAGTGAAGTAAACCAGACCTAGAGAGACAAAGGGTATGTTTTCTCTTATATGTGGAAGCTAGAGTTAGCTCACGAACATATAAGTACATACTCTGCGGGTGGTATGTAAGCATATATAAATGAATCAACTGAAATTCAGTAGCCTCAAGGGAGATCTCAAATAGTGTTACTCCTTAGAAAAGCAAAGTCAAAGTTCAGTGAAATAAAGTACCAGGAATCGAGTAATCTTGGGAATTGTTGATGTATCTAAGTATCTGTATTTGTACTCCTGCCGTTTATGAATCTGTTTAAAATGCAATAAAAGAAACAAAATGGAAACCAAAACGAAAAACTGAGGACTCAAGCCCAGAGTCCAATATTGAGAGTGCTTACCAATGGTATGGCTTGGGTTTGGTGATGTTCTATGACCTCTCTGGGCCTTAGTTTTTCTCATTTGCAAAATGGGGTGATTGGTGGGACTCTCACCACAGAGTGGTTAAAAGACTTAAGAGTTAAATTTATGTAAAGTATAACCCTAGAAATAAATATATATACACAAATAATAACCCATGTAAACGTGTGTAAAACTACAATATAAATTAGTAACTCATAAATATATTAGCATTTTAATATATTTTCTAGATGTTGAATATATTATGAATTATTCTACATTTAATTTTACCTGCAATTTACATTAAGTTAAGCTTTATATAAAGCATGTAAGTACATAAACATATAATTATTTATGTATGTATTTTTGCTGTCATTACTGTCTACTTTCTCTCTCTGCAGGGAGAGAGGGACCATGACAAGCGTTTTAATTATTTCACTTTCATTGGAGTTTATTGGTTCAGAATCCCTAGTTTTTACACTGTTGTAATATGAAGCAGGCTTTAAGTAGCTTAAAATTAACCTCGTCATTTGGAAAATAAAATCTACAATAGATGTAAATATTCGTGTGTGTGTGTGTGTGTGTGTGTGTGTGTTGGTGTTGGGGCTTGAACTTGGCCTGGACATTGTCCCTTAGCTGTTTTTGCTTAAGGTTGGTAGTCTACCACTTGAACCACACCTCCACTGTAAATAACATTCCTGTGACATTGCCCTTTCAGATTTCTTCAATTTCCTCAATACTTTCATGGATTTCTTGTCCTGTTCAAAGGCTTTGCCATCTGTGGAGCAAACATTCTATAAGACAGCAATGTGGCATATGCACTATGTGGTTATTTGTCCATCCTGTCATTCCCCAGAATTATTGATCCAGAGGTACTTTGGAACCAAAGTGCTTCTAAAGAGAAGGGACTGTTTTGTTGAAACCAGGATACAGGTGAAGTTTTCATTTGCCTTCATGACCATATCAATAATCTATGGATCATCACTTCATTCCTATAAGCAGAATGCCTCCCCTGTAGCTACTGGCATCAATGAAGAGACAACCCCTGTGCTTGATGGGAGTATGACACTGCAACAACTCCCACAAAACCCACTTCCTTTCCAGCAAACAGAGACAAACAACAATGAACACGAGCGCATCATTATTCTTGAACACACAGGAGAGGGCTGCATCTGTTTCTGGCAAACATGAGATCAGACCTCTGGTATTTCTTTGTCTTCTGCTTCCAAATTGAAGTCCTAGCAGGTAAGTGACATATCTTCTACTTTATTTTTTATTATGTTGTAATTGTCAGCATGCAGAAAAAATAGAGAAAGTAGGCACCAAATACAAAGAGAGTCTTATGTTTTAAAAACAGGAAACAAGTTCAGAATAGTCCAAGCACATGGTGAAGGGCACTCTGTTGCCCATGTCACCATGGATGATTGAGCCTGCCTTGCTGTGTTTGATAGTGATTTTAACATGAACAAATATGTTCAAAGACCATTAAATTTTAAATTTGCCCGCTTGGAGTTATCTGCCGGTGGATAAAATAGAAGAGTAGCTTCCTATTCTCAGCAAAAGATGAAAGACAAACTGACTTTTGTCAACAGAATGAAAATCAAATAGCTCTGGCATTTGGATTGGGAATTCTATGGAAGAAAATGAAATGGAATGGTTTCAAAAAGAAGGATTTTTATTTAATTCTTTCCTGGATGGTACATTGTTTGAAATGTATAGGTTGCCATTGGGGTTTTATTAATATTAGGTGTCAGGTTTCCTCAAAAGGACAAGGAGGAGTATACAATTAAAAATACTCCTCTATTCCTATATTAAAAATCATTCTACAATCTTTTATTCTTTCTCTTGGATGATATATGTCAGAATCGGTATAAATTGTTTAAACAAGGGTACCTATAAGTTACTATGTGTGTTTCTGATGCGTCTTACTCAACACATTTTTGTATTATTTTTCTTTTCTCTTTACTCTGAGTCTTGTTCTTAAGACTGGGATAAATGAAGTGAAGTTAAAAGGGGAAGTTCCATTAATAGAAAATGTAGAGGCAGAACTTCTGGTAGGTATTTTCTTATCTAGAAATGTATTTTTCCAGGAGTAAACATTAGTTTCTTCTCCAAAAAATGTCAAAACTAAAATTGGATAAAACCAGTGTTTGATCTTGTGCTGTCTCCAAGTTACTTGAACACTCTAAAGTAAAAGAGAAATGAGGTTGTATCTGGAATCAATCCTAAGAGTCATTCTGGGCTGCCTCCTTGTTAACGATGTCTTTTCTGCCTCCTCATGAAGTCCTTTAGCAGCCTGGGTGGTCTATGAATAACACTGGAATAGAAATTCATTCACCCATTCATCCACTCACTCGCTTGTCCATCCATTCATGCAGCACAGGATCCTAGCCACACAGAAGGCAATGTGTTAGCTGCTATATGTGCAACTATGAGTAGCACCAGGCACCTTCTGCTCTTCTGAAACAAACTGAAGGCCAGGGAATGAATAAACAGTCTCATAAACTTGTGACAAATATGGATGAAAAAGTCAGTTATATAAGAGAATATACCAGGGAAACTGACCAGATGGGGTAAGTGTATGTAGCCGTGGTTGGAGAGCAGGTTTTATTGAAGACTTTTCTTTGGAACTGGCACTAGACATTTGAAGGAGGAATCAATGGGGAGAGAATAGAATAAACGTAGGAAGAAAATCCTATGGTATGGAAAAAGTAAACACAAAGCACACTTTTTTCATGTCAGGAAAGAAAGAAGTAAAGCAAGAGGACTGGGAGAGAGAGGTAGCCCAGGAAGGGAGGGAAAGAGGGACAGGGAAGACGAGTCTGGAAAGGAAAACAGAGGCTAGACTACTTACACTGGAAAGATTTTGAATTTTCTTCTGAGAACATTTGTACAAATCATGGCAGGGTTTAGTACGACCTACTCAAGATATTTGAGTCAGAGTTGCTGTTATTTCTGTAGAAGGATGGATCCAGACTTATAGAGCATCATTACAGGTTGCCAAACTGATAAATAAATCATACTTCTGGAATAATATTTATCTGAGATTCTAAATGAATAAGAGTAAGGATCGTTCTCACCTCACAGAAAACTAAGTTATGTGGTGTTCTGCTTTCCAGTCAATTAGATGTCAGGACTGGGGGCATGAGTGGTAATAGAGGAAATAGCAGTCGCCATATTTAAAATAACACTATGCTGCATAGGCCCAGTATGTCCCATTAAGAAAACAGCAACAATAAGCCCAAAGAGCTAAATTCAAGCAAAATAAGCACTTGTACTTTCTAATGCAAAGTTGAATTTAGGACATCATATTTACATGTGCTCTCCCTCTTAAGTTACGCCCCTAGAGCTTCTGTATATAGTTTGTTTTTCAGATAGGGTCTTGTAATAACTTTGGCCAGTCTGGCTTGGAACCATGATTGTCTTACCTCTACTTGCTGAGTAGTTGGGACCACAGGCATATGCCATCATGCCCAGTTTGTTTTTGATAACTTTTGCTTGGGCTGGCTTTAAACCATGACCCTCTTGTCTCCATCTCCTGAGTAGCTAGGATTGAAGAAAGCATGCATCACCATACCTGGCCTCTGTGTTATATTTTTAAGTCTTCACAACTTTGTAGGTTTTGTCATGCCTTGAAGATGTAGACTTTGCCTTCACTCTTTTTTTGAAGAAGGAATCAGTCCACAAAAAGCTAGGTGATCATTACATAGTAGCTAATGGTGGAACCAAGGTTATAATCCTAGTGTATTTGACTGCAACATCTTTCTAAACTCTATTGAAGGAGCAGATTTATAAGATGAATCTTATGATGGGAGAGAACTTCTGACCAACTTTGTTGTTGGGTTGGCCAATTATGAAGGTTGGGAATTTTGATATTCTCAGTTTTTGATACATATCTCAATGCAAAATTCAATGAAGGCTTTGAATAGTTCTGGAAGAGTAGGAGACTTTGCCTTTTAGAAGAATCTGAAAGAAATGTGAACCTCGAACTGCATTTAGAAGGGCTTCTTAGGCCTTACAAGCATGATGCCTTGGTGGGTGGTCTGCTGAAAGAAAGACTACTTTCTTGTAGAAAGACTATTCTGAGAGTAATATGGTGAACACAGATGAATGGGAACGGTGGAGGGCAGAGGGTGCCTGAGCCATGCATGAATCCTATGCAGTGTTTGTTTTGGAAGCTGGGAGGGCACTTCTCAGAGCCTTGCTGTTTCATTGGGGCTGATGGAAGCAGCCGTTCCTGAATCCCGCCCCGGCTGGACAAACAGCCACTAGACATGGATCTACCCACAGAGCTGGAAGTCTGTGGATTTGATTAACCTCCCTTGCAGTGTCTCGGGACTCAGTGATGTCCTGGAATTACCCCTTTCAGTATTCATGCTGTATTGAAAAAAGAAATAAAAATGTCCCAAATTGCCCATCATTAAAACAAACATTTTAAGTAGTTGTACAAAGGAGTTGTCATTAAACAAAGCAGTTCATTAATACAATGCATCTTGATTAATGTCACTCCTTTCAACATTCTCACCCATCCCTCTCATTATTTTTGATGGATGAATTGAAGGTAGTTCTCCTCGACGTAGCAAACTTGATTTTGTTCCTTCGATATTGATTACCACTAATTTTTCTTGATTTTATTCCTGCAATATACACATTTATTTTTCTTTGTTGTGACATCTTTTCTTCTTCTTCTTCTCCCCCCTCACTTTCTCCTTTCCTCCTTCTCCTTTCTTGACATTTTGTTCACACGATGAAATTTCTTCTTAACTCTTTTCCTCTAGTAAAATTTGGAAGGTTGCCTAGAGTTCTTAATTTACTAAGTCATAGTCACATGCAGAGGATTATAATTGAGCATTTAATATTTATTCTTTTTTTTGTGAGTGTGGGGATTGAACCCATGGCATTGCATATGCTAGGCAAATGGTCTCCCACTGTACAACATCTCAGTCCTTTTGATTTATTCTTGTAGTGAAATAAATATGAGGATCCCCTCACCTGGTGTGCTTTGCTCTCTGCCCCTGCACTGACATCAGAACTTAGAAGTGTTTTTTCCTTCCCATTTTCAGCTTAATGTCCCTCCCCCAGCCACCCCCCCTCCCCCCTCCTGCCCAGCTGCATTGAGAATCCCTGCCCCATGTCTGGGTTTTGTGCAAATGATTTAAAATGACTTTTTCCTTGACACTTACATCACCTCTCTTCCATGACAGCATCATTCAGGACATTGGCATCTGTCTTATAACCTCTGTTCTGAGCCAGTTGTTGTGGTCTTCAGACCCATTTGGCTCCTTGAATCTCAGCACAGGTGAAGCTGTCTTTATTTAACCCTGCTAGATGGCTGATAGCTTTCCTGGGACTGGGATTCCTCTTGGACTACTATATTTTATTTTTAAATGTACCTTTATTTTCTTTAAGTAGTTGTACAAAGGAGTTAACATTCAACAGAGCAGTTTAAGGACACAGTGCCTCTTGATCGATGTCATCTGCTTTGGACTGCTTTTCCTCTGAGTAGTTTTCATCTAGTATCTGGTGGTTTTGAGGATTTCATGAGGATAATGAGTGAGGAGTTCTCATTTTTTTTAAATTAGTAACTTAAACAACAACAGCAACAACTCTCTACAATTCTGTAGTATTAAAAGCCATTCATTTTAATATTGGAATCTAGAAATCCCACTAGCATACAACTCTGTTTCTTTGTGTGTTTTCATCGGGCCTTTTTGATCTACAGACTCAAGCTTTATCTTTATTTGTATTTACTTAGTCATATCTTTTCTTCTACTTTCCCTCCAGCTTTCTAGAGATGTTTATTATTCTCATGTAAGATGTTAAATCCTTGCGTCTCTCATCTTTAGTAAAATAAATGGTGCTTGTAACTTGGGTTACTTGTTAACAACTATTTTAGATAAAAAGGAATGTGAAAGTGTCTAAATTAGCAGGAGCGTATTCCCACATCTTGGATGAAACAAAATGAGTTGTGTTGGGAAGATCCAATTTCTCATCCCAGCTTTACTCCCAGTAAGATCTATAGCCTCGCTTACTTAAAAAATACTTGATAAGAAATGTACTCATTACCTTGCTCATGTAACTGTAACCCCTCTGTACAGTATTTTCACAATAAAAAACTTATTTAAAAAATACAGATGTAAAGTGAGCAAAAGCTACAATTTATGTCTCCTTATTCTAAGAATAAGTTAGGATGAGCTTGAGGAATCCATTTATTGATTAACAACTCAAGTGTTCGCTGAACTCAT